ACACACAGTTGCTTTAGCTCAGTTGAGTCACACTGATTTAACTTTCTTTCCTTCCTTTTTTTTTGGGGGGGGTACCGGGTATTGAACTCTGGAGCTTGTACTTGCGAGGCAGGAGGTGGAACCACTGAGCTAAATCCCCGGCCCTGATTCAACTTTCTCATCTAATACAAGCCTTATTCTTCCAGCCCCAGCTGAGGCTCTAACTTTACCTCCTCTGCCACACTGCCAGATTTCCCCAACTGCTCTTTATTTTGATTTCCTCCTCTCCCAGTGCATCTCCAGGTAAGATCCACAGTGACCGCTCTGTACCAGCCCATTCTCTGTCACTGTAAAAAAATATCTGAGGCTGGGAACTTTATAACAAAAAGAGTTTGATTTAGTTCACTGTTCTGGAGATTCAGGAGTGTGGCACCAGTCTCTGCTGTGCTCTTGTGAGGATTTGGGGCTACATCACAACATGGTGGTGACTGTGTGACAGCAGCCATGGACAGAGACACATCACATGGCAAGGCAGGAAGCCCGAGGTACAGAGGGACCAGGCCCACTTCCAACAGTAACATGACTAAGCAGGGTCCCATAAGAGCTACAGTAACCCTTCCAACAGCCAGACCCCAATGCCTTAATCACCTTCAGCACATCCTGCCTCTTAAACGGTTCCTTCATCTCAGCATTGCCTCACTGAGGACCAGGCTTCCAGCACAGGAACTTTTGGGGCCACACTCAAAACATACCCATGCCATAGCACTTTCCAGACCTATCCCTCCTTGCCACAACTCTGCTTGGCGTCATCCAAAGCCCACCCCATCACTCAAGAGAAAGCCTGAGCTTGTGAGCCTGTTATAAGATGAGCTGTGTCTTATTCCAACACTGCCCACTCTGAAAGCTCATCACTCTCTGTATTCTTTCTCTCTTCTACTCCACCCAAAGCAAGTGCAAACTGATTCCAGGCACACTCTACTTTTCATATTCCCTGTCCTTAAAACAAAACTTACCATGCCCTAAGTGCCTTCCTGCTCTCTTTGTGGCAGACTTCTAGGAGCTATTCATCAAGACCTGGCAGCAATGCCTTCTCTGAGCTGCCCTTCATATCCAGGTAGAACGGATCTCTCCCTGCTTTGTGACCCCTCCCATACCTGTGTTGTCTGCTGCTTCTCACACTTCAGTACACGTTTACACCCATGAGTTCATGGCAGACACTGAAAGCTACTCCCGATATCCAATGTCATTTTCTGTGAGACAAGCCCATTTCCCGGAGTCCCTGCAGGAAAATTTCTGGGTGCGAATTAAGCTCCACCAATATTTGTGCATGTACAGAACTTGAAAAGCAAAGGAGAGCTTCTTGATGATGAGATACTTCGTATTTGCAAGTACAGTTGTGAGACATGACGTTTCTCTGCATCATAAACTAGTAACCAGCCCCTAGTTTTATGATTGGCAGGAGTCCATTTGAACAGCAGTAATAACAGCTTTCCAGTGCTGGATTTCTGGTTGTCAGATTGCAAGTGTATGGTATATTACAGATTTTGGAACCTTGAACTCAGTGATTGCCTACTTTTGGGCTTCCTGATTAGCAGCCTCCTTAATAGGGCAGAGGTAATTCCTCTCTCTGGAATCATCCCTGGAGCCTGCAACCTACTCCTCCAGCCCTTGGAATGACTTCATAAGCACCTAATTCCCCGATTAAAATCCTGTCTACTTGAAACACGAGGAATGACTTCCATGTCTTGAGCTGAACACTGAATGATTATACCTATCGCCCCCTGTTGTGAATTATGAGGAGGCTAAGACCAAGCCTCATTCTTCTTGGTATCCTTAGTGTCCAAACAATAGTCAAGAGACAACTCTAGAAAATGAGCCCATAAAGAAGAGGGTAGAGGGCTGGGGATTTGGCCCAATGGTTCTGCCACCTGCCTTGCAAGTGCAAGAGCCGTAGTTCAATTCCAGTACAAAAAAAAAATGAAGAAGAAGAGGGTGGAGTAACTAACCTGCAGTGGGGAAAAGTTGGTTCTCTCCATTTACCAAATGAGCTTTGAGCCTGGAACTACTTTCAGATTAACCAGAAACACACACACACACACACACACACACACACACACACACACACACACACGACAGTGGCAACAACATAACCAGGGACCAGATAAAGGCTGGGATAACAGTGTGAGACGTGAGTCAGGACCTCCAACCCCACTCCCCATGGGATCTGGGTATTGCCCTCCACTAAGGCCTGCAGTCCCCCAGCAGCCCACATAGGAATGCAGAGAGGGTGAGAGAAGGCTGCACCAGCCCCCAGTGCCCTTATAAATGTGTCTGAGAAAACTGCAGATGACAGGCAGCAAGCTCAGCAGCGGACTCGGCTCAGCCTCAGGTCTACACACAGTGAGGCCAGAGACCAGGGGCCCACTGCACAGGTGTGGGGATAAGGAGGACCACAGACCATGGGAAAAGCTAGAAAGAGTGCGGTGAGACTCCATGGACTGTGGAACCCTGGGGGATTTGTGGCTAAGTCCAGGTCTGTTGCTAATCTCTGTGAGAATTAAGACAGACTCTTAAGACTCCACCACACTGTCCTCTTGTTCATAACATTGGCATTATAACCCTTATTGTGAGGACTGAAGAAGACAGAGAAGACAAACCCACCTGTCACAGGGCAGGTGCAGGAGGGTGGCTCATAGTAGGTCCCCACAAGTCTCCCTTCCATGCTCACTCTCTGGGGGTGCCCAAAGCCCAACTCTGGTATTCTTTCCAGTGTGGGCACTTGACTCTGTACAACAATTGATTCAGTGCTTTGCTTTGTTTTCTCATTGTTCCATCTGAAGGAAAGGCACTGAGGGTTCTCTGAAGGGTGATTTCTCAATCCACTCATTTGTCTGCACTTGCCCAGAGGCTTGGGGCTGGAAGGGTGATTCCCGGAAGTTCTTTAAGTGCAGAGAGGATGGGAGGGTGGAGGGAGCTGTTCCAGGAAGGGTGCTCTTGCCAGCTGGGGAGAGAGTGGAGAACTTGGCCACTCTGAGTAATCATGTTGTCCATGCTCATCAGTGGGCTATTAGCATTTGAGTCTAAGCCAGTCTTTCTGTGGCATCCCGCAGGACTCTGGGTCTAATGCAACTTCTCCTTCCACATGCCCTTGTTATGAATTTCTCCACAAAGAGGACTAGAAGGCTTCTACTTCCTGTCCCAGAATGGGCCTTATAATAAGATAGTGTCATATTCCTTCAGGGGAGAGCATACTAAAGCTCCTCAGGAAGGATCTGAGCCCTAAGACCATGAGAGGACATTGCACCGCTTTTGAGTTTGTGACAATCCACGAGCCTCTTGGCATCTGCTATAGAGCCAGCTGTTGGGTTTTCTTGGGTGGGTAGGACCAAGGGAAGAGCATCACGTGAATGACAGGTATGAAGGAACAGCAGCCCTGGAAAGAGGGGGATGAGGACACTCACAGAACCTCAGTGACATCCTCTACTGGAGAACTTGGAGACAGCTTAGGAATGGAATCTGGATCAGGAGTAAAACTACCATAAGGGGTACCTGTCCTGGGCACCACATTGAGGTGGGAGCTTTTGTAGCTCATTTAGACTGGGCAGGAAACAGTTAAACTGTTAAATCTGAGCTTCTGCAGACAGCAGGAGTATTTGATGTTGCTGCACAGGAAGCTTGTCCTAGAGTGAATAATTCCTGCACAGCGGGGGAGCCTTTCTCAGGTTGAACTCTGTCTGGAAGCTGCTCTTTTCTTGTCAGAAAGCCAGAGCAATAGCTCTGGCTCTGCTCTCCCACCCACACCCCCGCCCCCCAGCCAAGAACACCACAAGGGCAACTCAACCCCAGCAGACACTCTCCGAGTGCAAGGAAGAGACCCAGAGAGCTACCACTCTGCTCCTTGCACAGTAGAGGAAAACAATTCTTCTTATTAGCTGCTGATAGCCATCTGGACCTTTAGTCCCCAGGGACAGGGAGACAGGGATTTCTCTACCACTGCCGTAAAAAATATTGCACACGGAAGCACTGTTTTGTCTGAGTGAGATATAAACAAGGAGGAACTTAAGGAGGAATGAGGGCACTGTACAAACAAGAGGACCAAGAAGAGAAGCCACTGAACCAGAGGGTTCTTGAACCCTTGGCAAGAGGCGAGTAGAACTGAGGCAGGGTGGTACTGGAGTGTGTCGAGCACGTTTGTGGATTCTAAGTCTCTTGTGCAAGCTGCATATTAATGTAGAGAAAGGAAGAGAAAAACTAAAAAAGCAAATCGTAACCAAGGTGCAATTCCAGATATTATTTCCCATGACTCTCTGGCCCTCAGGGAAGCCTAAAAATAATTATAATCAAAAGTCTTACAAGTAAACTCCTTTTAGGACATTGACTTGCCAAAGGTTGGCATCCTCTGGGGCCGCTCATATAATAAGAGTGATCTGTTTACTTCTCAGAGATACACCAGGAAATCATTTCACCAGGCCTAGGCTAACGAACTGCGGTTCAGGATTATCTACTGAGTTCCTCAAGGGCACGTAGTTTTTTATGTAGCAGAGACAGAATTTAAGTTCAAACATCGCTGCCCCATTTCCAAACCTGTGCCTTTTTCCCTGTTCTGTGCTCCAATGTGTGGAGTGTCCTCCCCAAGCAAAGTAAGCCACTCCAGAGGGAAGAACTACGACCAAAACAATGACGTAACGAAATAACACCAAAACAACAGGGAAAAACGTCTGAAAGCACATTTCAACAAAGAAGAAATGTGGATGGCAAGTAAGCACATACAATGCATGGCCTTGCTGTTTGCTAGGAAGACACTGCTTAGAGTGACAATGAAATGCCTCTACAGGCAGACCAGAAAGGCTGACGCTAAAAAAACGGGTCCTAGCAAGCCTCAGTAAGACCTGTGTGGAGCACCTGGAACTCTCTGGCATTGCCTGTGAGAATGTAGAACAGAGCAGCTGTTTTGGAGAACTGTGAGACAGTTTCCTAAAAGGCCAAACACAAATCTACTGTACAAGCAGCCATCGCATTGCTGGAGCTTTATTTAAATTAACTTGCCTACCTGAGCACATGGGCTTGGGTATGTACAGCAGCTGGGCTCTCATGCTGCCACACAGAAGAGTGTCTATACAATGGAATACTATAAATACAAAGTAACAAAATATTGATCCACTCATGTTGAATGCATCTCAGAATAATGGTGTGAAAGAAGGCAGACAGTGAACGAGTACAAACGATATGATTGTAACTACATAAAATTCTCAAAAATGCAAGTGGGCCAATGGTCATAGAAAGGACATTAGCTCCCTGGGAAAGGCAGTGAAATTGGAAAAGCAGTGGATTACAAAGAGCCATAAGGAAAATCTGAGTGGAGACCCCTTGCTTAAGTTGCAGTGATATTTATACAGGTAGAAATATAAGTAGAAACTCATCGGTGTTTCCTAGTTGTTGCAGGCCAGGTGAAACTCAAAAACATTGTGACATGGTAAGGGCGATGCCTCCTCTTGCACACAGCTGGCTGTAGCATCTGGAGATGGTGGAGCCTGAGAGCAAATGATGCACCTGACTCCAGTACTCGCTGTGGCAGGATCAGGGAAGCCAGCGTAAGGAGACCCTGCAGAGAGAGTGGAGGAACTGAGTGGCCAGGGAAGTCTGTGCTCCCAGCCAATCATCTGTCTGCCTGGGCCCCACCCTCCAGGAGGACTCCAGAATGGAGAACTCTGCTCTAGCGGATGTGCCATCCGATGCACTCCTGTTGTTTTAAGGGTTGAACAGGCAGGCTTGTGCATTTCTCTTGGTGGTACAAGGTGGCAGGAAAGACCATGAGAAGACTCGGGTTACTAGAAGCCAATGTCAGTGATGGGGCCAAAAAATTTTTTTTTTTTTTTTAGTTTGGACCCTTCTTTTTTAACAACAGTTTTTATGCTTTGTTTGATTTGTTTGTTTTGTTTTGTTTTGGGGACAGGCTGTAGCTATGTAGTTCAGGTTGACCTAGAACTTGTGGCAGTCCTCCTGCCTCAGCCTCCTAAGTGCCAAGACTACAGGCCTGCCCCACCGCACCTGGCAACAACAGTTTTTAATGTCAGCCTTGGGAACTCTGTGTCTCCTAACTCTTAGTGCATTGGCTTCTGCCCCTGAATTCGGACAACAGGCCGGAGCAGTGAGGCAAAGCTTATCTTTTTAACCATGCAGCTCCTCTGCACACGTCCTTATTTCTCCTCCTGTGTGTTTCTGAATTTCTCAGAAAGGAAACCCATAGAAGAATCACTCAGAAGAAAACTGAGCTTCAAGTTCCCCCGACTCTTTTGAATCCGCAAGATCCTGTTTGGTGTGCTAACTTTCAGGCTGGAATATATATAATCCTTTTAAATTTTGAGGCAGGGTCTTTCTAAGTCACTAAATTGCCTAGGCTAAGCTCAAACTTGCAGTCTCTCTGCCTCCACCTCCCAGAGTACTGTGGTTATAGGCGGTGCCAATATACCAGGCGAGCAAGGCTGTTTTTGTTTCTTGGTTTTTTTTTTTGTTTTTTTTTTTATACCGGGGATTGAACTCAGGACCTTACACTTTCGAGGCAATTGGTGAAACCACTGAGTTAAATTCCCAGCTAGGCTGTGTTCTTAAGGCATTTGATTCCTGATTCATCAGGTTCAGATTTTCTAAATAACTGCAGGTAGAAAGAAGCAAATTCTTTCAACAGTGCTGTAAACCAGTCCAGCTATTCTCTGTTTTTTATAAGACTGGCCCAGATCTACTTACCTGAAGAAACTGCCAAGTGCAACACCATTTAACATTTTTCTACCAGCAGTAACTAAAGTTTGGAAATAAGTAATTATTTTGTGGTCAATGTTCTGAATTCTAGTAGATGGCCAGTAATTCTTTAAACTATTGATGTTCTGCTCCCCACCAAGAAGTGCTAATATCCTGCCTCACTGTCTGTCCTCATGACTCCCTAGTCGGCCCCAAGCCAGCCAGTTTACAGTGGGACTCTGTCAGCTGCAGCATTGGGGAGCTGATGGAGGGGCTGTTCCTCTCCCTGACTTACTTGTCAGTATTCCATCAACTGGTAATAACGAACACCCATCTCAAATAAGATTAGGCAAAGGGGTACTCATTAGAAGGGTATAGGAGACCTGACATAACTGAAGAAGTAAGGCTTTCGACTTCCAAGGGCACCGACTGAGCCAGCTTTCTCTAAACTAAGTCTGCCCTATATCAAATGAATGCAAGACCAAACTGTAGTAAGGGCAGGGATGCCCATTTGCCTTGCTGACTCCTGAATCCAGCACTTAATGTCTCAGGAAGAGCATTTGATGTCTTTGGGGTTCTTCTTCAACCCCAGTATTCTTAGACTTTCCCTACTCTATCATCCACATGATGTACAGGGATCAATCCCAAGAAGCCAAGTTCATATTCTCTGATCTTCCCCTGGCCAGGATGAATGGTTACAGCCCTGGAATCAGAGCAGAATGTGACCAATCACATCTGTTCTGCAAGCAACTTGAACTGGGCTCCAAAGTCGGTTTCTTTTCTGGAAGTTGAATTTCTCACATAGAATTGCAGATAGGGGTGGAGACTATTTTTCAGAAGGAAAGGGAGAGCAGGCAGGAAAGATACAGAAGAGCAGGCAGACACCAAGGAGAAAATGCTTTCCAAATGGGACTGAGCTCCTAGCTCTAGGCCAGCGGCAGGCTCACTGGGTCTCTGTGATTAGGTTCCACGAGACACTCCTTACTTCTATAATGACTCCCCTCAGTCTTATAACTACTTCTAGTTCTTTTCTGATGTTTTTAACCACAAAATACTTTCCACTACCAAAATATGAAGACTGAGCATTCTGGAAGTAAACAGATTTATCTGTTGTCTTAGAAAATACACGGGCCAGCTCCAAAAAAGAGTATGGGCTTGGGAGCCAGATTGTATTTCAAGTCCTACATCTACAGTTTGTTAGTGATCAGATTTTGTCACATTATTTCACCCTGCACATTCACAACTATTTATTGGGCACCTACCATGTGCCAGACACTGTTCTGCTAGCTAAAGACGAAGGAATAAGAAAGACACTCTCTTTGCTCTTTTGAGTTTACCTTCGAGTACCTTCATTTGTTAAATGGCAATAATAATGTCTTATATTCTGTTGTCCATGAGTATTAAATGAAATGTTTCATGAAAAATATCTGTAAATAGTAGATGCTGAATAAGTCCTGATTTTCTTCCTTCTTTCTCTTTCTTATGCATTATTGGATGCTGGGGAGAAAAGCGCCCTGGCTTAGATTTAGGATTCTGGAATTCTAAAACTAGCCCAGCTCTTAATTAGCTGTTAACTAGCTGTGCCTCAACCTCTCTGGATCTTAATTTCCTCTGTAATAAAATAACGACATTATACTAAGTAATTTCCTTTTGTTTGGATGAGATTCTGTACTTCAAGTGAGTCACTAATACAGTACATGGGGGAAGACTGGATCTATTAGACTGTGCTTGGATTTTAAAACAAATTTATAGCTGATCTCTATAACAGAATGACTAAATTCCTGAGCACTGTGTTAAGTCCTCATGCTTTTTGCTTTAATTTCACCCTCTCTGAGGAAGGTATTATCACCCTCGCTGTGTATAGGGAACCCTAAACCTCAGAGAAGTGAACTTGGACAATGTTGCCAAGCTAGTCAGAAGCAAAAGTGGTATTGACTCCCACACTTGTCCTCTACACTTCTTGCCCTCTCTGCTGTTAGGTGGCAGAGCTTGTCCCAAGGCCAGTCAACATAAAGAGTGACGATAGAAATGAACCAGTACATCGTGTCAGCCAGGAGCATCTCCTGAAAGGTTCCAGGAGAAGACAGAGTCCCTACCTTGGTCCCCGTCCTGTGGCCAGTGCTTCTGTGCTTCCTCCTCCATGCCCACCTGCCTCTCCCTGCCCCCATTCCTGTGGGTGGCTCGGTGTGATTGACAGGAAACCAAACATTATTGTTCAGGAAAGATATGTTTTTTCAAATTGAACATCTGCTGCTTGTTTGGCTGGGAGTTTGGCAAGCATTTCAATTCGCCGTGGTGGTCAGACCTAGAGGAAATAATTAGGTGGTCATGGCAACCGGCATCCCAGGCACACCACACTGACGCCAAGGAGCAGGCATCAAATGGAGAGTCCAAACACCCACTCTGCCTTCAACCCTTTGACCTCTGTCCTCAGCAAGACCCCTGCTTCTTCAGGTCTAAAACTCTCAATATGAGAATGAAATTTTTAATTCCACATGAAAATATAATGGGTCCTGAGATCCAAACAGCACCTAGACAGGGGGCACAGAGACCACAAGTTACACCAAGCAGAGCAAGACTAAAGGGGTGGACATGTGGTCATGAGTAAAACGTCCACCATGTGCCTGGAACTGTGCAATGTGTTTTATGACATGGCCTTGGTTGATCCTCACAGCATTTGTCATTAGACAGGGGAAGAAACCTAGGCACTAGACAGTGTAGGATCTCAATTCTGAACTTTCCTTTATGCTTACACCAAACACCACTGGTCCCTTCTCCAGAAAGGGGTTGGGGGAGGTACTAGTGCTTCCCATGATCTGCTGCCCACCTGGTAGACGTCCATCTGCTGTCACCCATCCTATACCACTCTAGCAGGCTACATACTTTTTCTTTGCCCCAGATATTTTAAACCCATATTTTTAAACCCATGCTTTTCTGCTATGTTCTGGGCAGTGTATGACAGCTAGGTCTGAGCCCAGTTTTCTTCTTTGCTTTATTGAGGAGATGACAGAACTTGCACGATGCCCTCCTGTTCCTGAAATGTACAGCTCACCTTTGACTCAAATGCCAGATTGGTTGTTACCTTGATTCAACTTTGAAAATTTCTGTTCCCCATGGGCAGGCTCAGGAAAAATCCCAGTCTTCAGAGACTTGCTCCTTTTTTTCCACACCCCTGCAATGCATTCAGTCTTAGGAGATCATACACCTTTTGCTTTGTGAGAGCAAATTACTTGGCACTTTATATACAACAAGCTCTAGAAATAAAAACTTCTGATAATCCCTAACATAGGAGTCCAAGGATTTGCATTTGAGTCTTTTTTCTGCCACTCTTTAGCCGTGTTATTCTTACAGCATCACTGACAATTGATGTGTGAAATAAAAGACCAGAAAAACTTCAGCTAAAGATGCCTCTCAGTCCTGTAATGTGGTAATTCAAGTTTTTCTTCTAGCAAGTAAAATTCAGGTTCCACTCAAAAGGTACAGTTGTTCAACCTGTTCCTCACTTCAGCATGGCCTGGGTCACCTCTCTGATGCAAATCGAGACTCTGCCTTCAAGGTTTTGATTTTTCTATTTTATGTTTTCTCCTAGTTTTAGACAGGTGACTTATGAGTATTTAGACAGCGGTCTGCATGTCTCCCAGTGAGCAGCATGTTGGCTGGAAGACTTCCAGAGATGCCAACGACGCAGTGAAGGAAGTAAAGAAGTGAAGTGATGCCTCTTGGTAGAAGGCAAGCGCTTCCTGAGTTACGCTGCCCTGGCTGTTACTATAGTTCACCCTGCCTTGACCCCGGTGGGTGACGGAGCAAGGTCATGGACTTGACTTGACTCTGTCACTCATGGGCCAGGACTTGGGCCAGCACGCAATGCCTCCCAGCTTCAGTGTCCTTTTCTGTGAAATCTGAATACTGGCACCTTGGTGGTGGTTCTCCTGAGGCTTTCACTCATTCTTGACTCAGACCCATGGCTCTGACCAGCACTTGCACCCACTGTGTTGAGAGTGAACTGTGTTGTGATGAAGTCCTGGGAATTTCTCTTGAGGGAAATGGCTCTTTGGGGAAAAAAAACAGAGTGCTCACTCACACAGACACAGAAGAAGACACAGCCTTTCTCCCACTCTTTCCCCAGATCCCAGACACTGAAGAAACTAAATGTGAAACCTGGAGTTGTTACAGTCCTCTTCTGACCATGAAGAGGAAGCCAAGAGATGCTGCTGAGCTGTAGCCAAAAAGCCACTGATTTACTTAATTAAACCAATGCTGGAGCTAAGCTGTCTCTGCACATCTTACTGTAAGAAACAACAGATGTCTTTGTTATATGAGGTAATTTTACTTTGAACCTTCAGATTTTGGGGACCCCTCTCATCTTATTCGAAAACCCTGTGACCCCGGCTTAAGAATTGGCCAGAGTGGTTTCCAAGCCTTATTTTGCCACTTAATTAGCCCTGTGAACTTGACAAGGTGCTTCTCAAACCCTAGCTTGCATTGGAATCACGAGGGGGTATGGGGGTGTTAAAGCCCCGGGTTCTCCCCAGAGACTCGTATTCACTAGGTTTGCGGGGTTGCTCACACAACCACACTCTCCTGGACCTAGCTGTGCCCATCTTTACATGGACAAGCCAGCATGCCCAGGTAGGCTTTGTGAGGGTTAACCACAACGATACAGGTTCCGTGTGTGGCACAGAATCATGCCTCAGAGATAGACCTTTATCATCAGCTCAGGAAACGTGAATCTTGCAGTCGAGGGCTTTGTGGGAATTTCAGGTACAGACTAATTCTCCTGGAGTCCTGGGGCCGTGGAAAGCCGTCCTTCCCGGACAGAAGAGCCAAAAGAAACCTGTTGACTGGGAATATTAATGAGGTGGCCCAGGAGAATGACATGAGTGATTTGCTGAGATTATTGAAAATCGTCCAAGAAGTAGATGGTTAGGGGGAAAAAAATGACCTTCACTTATCAGCTCTCCATCTCAATGGTTCGTGGTGTGTCTGAGTATTATCCAAGTGATTCAAGAGGTGAGACCTTGAAAGGGGATGCAGGTGGGAGTGAGACTGGCTGCCTTTAAAAGAGGGAAGGCAATAAAAGATTAGTTACTAAATAAATGAAGTTCAGGAAATGATCCAATGTCTTGGAAGTGTTCAATCATGAGAGATGGGAGGCTTCTAACCTTGTGGAGTCCAAGGAAGCCGTACATATACTTCAGGGAAGCCATCCTCTTTTTTTTTAGGGTAAGGACAAATTTAAAAGGCTGAGAAATATGAACTTTGAAAAAATTTCCACGTACTCTTCTATTCCTAAAAAGCCCAATGCATCTTACTTTTTAAACTGACTTCTTAAACTGCAGTAATGCTTCTATTGCTCTCATCATTGCTATTTATTATAAACATCCGTATGCTTTCATGCCATTCTCTCAAAAGAGTCAGGTAGGTATTAATAGCACTGTCTAACAGATAGAGAACTACAGACTGCAAACATTTACATGACATTTACATCCACAGCCGTGGATATGCTGTTGTGAAATTTGTACTAAGACTCAATACTCTCTCCAATGTACCATGCTGCCTTTGTGAACAGTGGAAAACTGTCTTTAAAGGTAATTGGCATGACTCACATGTTAATCATTCTTTTCCTGTCAATGGTTTCCCAAACCTTTCTCACCCACCCATTTCTCATAAGCAGTCTACCTTCATTTTTATTTCCCCTCTCTTTGTTTATTTTCATTACCTTCCATTTCCAGAGCACATTTCACATTTCCCCACTGCCTCTCACCTTCTGGCTCTCCTGTGTGTACCTGTGCAGCCCCGGAGGGTGAGGACCCCATGTCGCAGAGCTGGGAATTCACCATCTGTGACGTACAGAAATTAGGTATTAGTATCTGCATGCGAAAGCGAGGAAACTGAATCCACAAAATAAATAAGAAACATGTCCAAGTCCTCAGAGTTAACACTGTTCGGGTTTTAAAGACTTCCTTTTCTCTAGTGCTTATTTTGAGTTGCCTCAAAGCCTGAGTTTGAGAAGTCACATTTTGCCCTTGATCAAATTGACCTTAAGCACATTTCCCATTTTCTGTGGTCTGATTCCTCTTCTGTAAAATGGAATTTCTCTATATGCTAAATGAGATAGCATGTGTAAAATATTTGCCATCATAACTGTGGCAGAAGGAATTGTAAGTTTTATTTACATACATGTGTGTACCCATTCACATACATCTATGTTTATATATTGATAATCATTGTTGCTGTATGTTTTCACTGTTTAGTGTTTAATGCTTTGTAGCCTTCATTTGTCTTATGCTTAAAATATTCATATTGAAGTACATAATACATACAGAAATATGTGCATATGAGAAAGGTATGGCTCATTATGTTTCTGTTAGCTGAACAACTCTTAGTAATGAATACTCAAATGATCAAGTAAAATGCTACTAAAGCCCAGAAGCCCAATTATGCCTCTGCCCATATGTCTGACACTGTTCACCTTCCAAGCCAGCATCAGGTTGAGACCAGTTGTGTCCACTGTTGTACTTTCTGTATGCATAGACATGCAGTGTTACACGCTTTCATATCTGGATTCTTTTGTCAACGTGATGTTTGTGTTATCCACAGCGCTGCATGCAACTGTCGTTTGTCATTCCTACTGCTATATAATACTCGTTGTATGAATATGCTTTGTTCCTCCACTCTACTCTTCATGGGCTGATTTAACTTTTAAAGCACCTAATAAGCTAGAAAGCAAAGTCCTGCAGTCCTCATTTACTAACGAAGAAACTAAAGTCCAGAAAGACAATTTTATTTGTGGAAGTTTAAATAAACAGTGCCAGGACTAGGGCCCAGAATTCTTGCCCTCTGGCTTTCAAATTTCAGTCTCCAGTAGTTGTCGGAATGTTTCAGAGCGTGAGTTGGAAGACCGAAAGGTCTCCCCCAAAAACTTGAGGGAACTAGAGAAAAATGTCCAAGGTCAATGATGAAGACTTGGACCCTCCTTCAAGGTGCAAAAGGAAAGACTTCTTCTTTCCCTTTTCATTCCATCCAGGTTACATGTATATTTGTTGGTGCCACTCACTTCTGGGACAGGTCTTTCCTCTTCAGAGTGTAGCAAAATCACCCAAGGACACACTCAGAACTGTGCTCATGAATCCACTAGGCCTTCCTTTTTTCTTTGTTTGTTTGGTTTGGTTTGGTTTGGTTTGGTACTGGGGATCGAACTTGGGACCTTGCGTTTGTGAAGCAGGTGGCAGCACCCCTGAGCTAAATCTAGGCATTTCTTAATCCTTCAAATTAACATGGAAGTTACCTACCATAGGTATCCAAGTCACTTGGCTATATATGCAAATGTATTTATGGCCTCTATTTTGTTCTACACCTTTATGCCTTTTCCAGTAATTGCCTGTTTTGACTACTCTAACTTTGCTGTAAGTTCTGAATTCAAAAAGTTGAGATCTCTTCTGACTTTGCTCTCTTCCTTTTCAAGATTGTTTGGGTTAGTCAGGTCCAGTGAGATGCCATATGAATTTCAGCGGGAGTTTTTAGAGAAAAACTTTTTAATTCTGCAAAAACATGTTATTGAGATTTTAATAGGGATTACATTAAATCTATAGATTGCCTTGACTAGTTTTAGCCTCTTAACAATAGTAAATCTTTTCAGTGACCAAAACAGAATGTTTCCCATTTATTTGTGCCTTTTTAAATTTTTTTCAGCTATGTTTTATAGTTTTCAGTATACAAGTATTTTGTTTTCTTGCTTAATTTTATTCTTGTTTTATTCTTGCTTGATGCTTTTAGAAATTGAATTGCTTTGTTACTTTTCTTTCTTGATTGTTCATTGGTAATGTACAGAAATGCAACTGATTTTTGTGTGTGGATTTTGTATTTAGCAACCTTGCTAATTCATTTATCAGTTCTAAAAGCTTTTGTGGGATCTTAAGAGTTTTCTAGATATAAGATCATATCATCTGCAAAGACATGCAGTTTTACTTCAAAATTCCCTAGGTGAATGCCTTCGTTTTTCTTGCCTTATGGCCCTAGCTAGGAATTCACTATTGTACTGAATAGAAGCAGTGAAAGCAGGCGCCCTTGTCTTGCTACCTGTCTTAGAGGAAAAGCTTTCAGTTTTTGAGTATGATTGTTGGCTACAGGCTTTTCCTATGAAGCCTTCATTGTGTTGAAATAGTTTCCTTCCATTTCTAGTGGGGGTTTTTTTTTTTTGACTGAAGATTCACATTTTAAAAAAATAGTATGTTGACTAAGTAGAGAATGGATTGGATGGAAATGAGCCAATAGGAGAGAGACCCTTTGGGAAACTGTTATAACAATTTAAGTAAAACATGATATAGTCACAAATCAGTGTAATACTGAAAAGGGGAATAGTTAAAAGACCTTTAGGAAGGACAAACAGATCTTCACGGCTAATTGGATATGCTAGAAAAGGAGGGGTCAAGGATGCTTTTCAGGCTCTGACGTAGGGGACTAGATAAAGGAATCCTGGAAAGGGTAGTTTTGTGAGGGATGATGATGAATTGACTAAGGATGAGGCACTGGGGAATAAGCAATTAGAAGAGTCAGAAGCTTGAAGAGAAAGGTATGGACTGGAGATGAAATCTTGAAGTAGCTCCACCCAAGCAGTGTCAGACCATATACACAGAGGAGCTGAGCAAGAGTTACCAGAACGAACATCTAGAGAGGCCAGACAGGTAACAGCTTAAATTAATGGAGCCTGATGAAATCCCATGAGAAAGCCCTGGGGACTGGGGTGATGAAGACATATGCTTTGCCCAAAGGCTTTCCAGATTACTGGCTTGTGTCCTGGCCCATCCTGTTCCATATTTTCCCTTATGAACCTAAATGAATAGGTTCATCATCTCATTGGAATTTCAGAGAGTGCATTAGACCAGTGGGGAGGTAAAAGGAGACAGGAGAGGCCCCTTCTCCCCAGCAGTTTTAACATGAGCCCACAAAGGCATATGTGGCTCCAAATGCAGTTGGTTGCATTCTTTGCAATGCTCCTTACGAACTTTGCTCAGAGAAATGGCCTTCGGGAGGTAAAAGTTAGGAGCCTGGAGGGCCTTAACATGGGAGAGCCAAGAAAGCTCACAACCAAGGCCAGAAAGCCTGGCTCCTGTTTCAGAACCTGGAAGCCTAGCCCTTCAAAACATCAACATATTAATGACTTGCTGAAGGTTTGGCTTCTTGAGAATGCAACATTGGGAAAGAAAAGCTTATTTGTGTTGTCTTTAGTACATAGAAAAACACAGTCATTGCAGAGAGGTCTGGGCATCTAGACTAGGAAGACCCCCCACACACCAGAGTGAGTTTCTGAATCTAGTTCTTGAATCTGCTTGAATCTGATGCTCCAGAGGGACTTGGGCCTGAACAGCCTGAGGTCAGCATCTCTGTTGTTATTTTTCCTACAAACAGAGGCCAACTAGTCCAGGAGACGATAAAAATTAGCTTGAGCTGTTAGGGCTATTTGTGTGACTTATTGGATTGTGGAATTTTAGCAAGGCTGTGGTTTTGTCCCTTTGATAGCTACGTAGGCCAGGTAAGAGATTATAGGGAACTCTTTCAAGTGGCAGAAATAATTAGCTCCACTAATCAAACAGCAAACAAACACACTCATCCTTCAAGGCCTGGCTCAGATATCACTTTCTACATCCAAGCCACTTTCTGTCTCATCCCCTTAACATGTACTCCTGTTACGTGCCTATCTAGAGGACACTTCAAGCAAGGAGCTTGCTTGTGTGATTCCAATTCTACATGCTCCGTGGCCAACTGAGGTCTCAAACACACACCTTACTGTTAGAATGCTTTAAGCCATAGCTTAATTAGTTCATTAATGTATGCTTCTTCGTCCACACTACCTACTTCCTGTGGCTTCTTTATGATCTTTCTTACAGCCATTGTATCAGTTTCCTAGAACTGCCAATTACAAAGTACCGCACATCAAGTGGCCTAAATAATGGAAAGGTGTTGTCTCATTGTCCCAGCGGTGGAAGTCTGACATCAAGGTTAGAGTTGATTCCCTTAGAAAGCTGTGAGGGAGAAGCTCTTCCAGACCTCCCTCCCAGTTTATGGTGGTTTTCAGAAAATCTTTGGCATTCTGTGGCTTGGAGATGCATGACTCAAATCTCTGCCTTCGTGTTGATGTGGTGTTCTCCCTGCACATAAACTTTCTCTTTTAATAAAGACAGTAGTACATTAGATTTGGGGCCCATTCTACTCCAGTGTGATCTCATATTAACTGGTTGCATCTGCGCTGGTCATATTTCCAGAGAAGGTCAAGCTTGAAATACTGAGAGTTATGATCTCAACTCAAAAATGTGGTGGGGACAATTTCCCTCATAACAGCTCTGTCCCACACATAATGACCTTCACAGTGCTCCCAACATATAGCCTTCTTGGGATCAGGTATTATATTCTGTGCCTTTTACAAGGCTGACATATATCAGAAGGATCTGGCTTTCAGAAAAAAAAGTCATTCCTACTTCTTGGACCCAGTTTTCCCAGATAGAAGTGAACTACAAAACTGGAATAATAGGCCAGGGATTTAGCTCAGCGGTTCAGTGGCCTGCCTTGCAAGCGCAATGACCAGAGCTCAATCCCCGGTACCAAAAAAAAAAACAAACAAAAAATACTGGAATAATGGCCTAATCCTTTAGGCCTCTTCAAGCTGTAAGACACTTGATTTTTCTGGAAAATAATAGCCCTTCAGCCTGCTGGGAGTACTTTCACCTCAAACTGACTGTAGAACTATTAGGTTATCTTGCTGTCTTTTGTGTTAGTCTGTCTCATATCTAAAATGGAGTTCTGAGCCCTCTCTTGGCCCCTCATTTTGAGGCTCTCACTGCCCAAGTTTTAATAACTTACAGTACATTGATTGTGTTAGCTTTTTACCACTATGACAAAATACCTGGCATAACAACTTGTATAGAGGAAAATCTTATTTGGGCTCATGATTTCAGGAGTTCAGTCCATGATCAGTTGGTACCCTTGCTTTGGGCCTGTGGAGAAGTAGGATACCTTGGGAGGGAACATATGATAGAGCAAGGCAGGGCAGCAAAGAGAAACAGGAAAGGCTAGGCCTTGCTGTCCTCTAGAGGGCATACCCCAAGAACCTCCGTTTTCTTATCAGGGCCCTCCTCCTGAGTTCCCCACCACTCCCACAGTGCTATCCCCTGAATCCTAAGGGCCCATTCCTGGACCCCCAATGACCTCACCTCCTATCAGCTGGGGACCACGCCTCTAACACAGGACCATTTGGTAAAAGGCGAAAGATTTATATGACCTAAAGAGAAACCGGAGTATTTAAAGTTCTGTGGTCTTCAATACATTCCTCCTCTTCTTCCTCTTCCTCCACTTCCTCCTCCTCCTTCTTCATCTTCTTCACTCAGGACCTTGTGCTTGCAAGACAGGTGGTAGAACCACTGAGCTAAATCCCTGGGCCTTTACACAGGACCATTGGGAAAACAATTAGATTCAAATAAAAACAATGATATTTGTCATTAATTATTCAATAATTTAAGTAATCATAAAGTTTATTAATCTATATTTTTTCGCTGTATGTGAAAGTACTTGTATAATTAAATATTAAATACCCTTGAAGAAGACATTATCCAAGCTGATGGAAAGGAGCTCACACGCTTTTGTGAAAATGGAAACCTGGCCTTCTTAAACTTTGTTGTGCTAGGAACTGTTAAATGTGGCATCTGTCTGACATTCATCTGCTCCAATTCTACGTTTTCAACCCTCTCAGCCTCTTCTTTTCCTTCTGCACATCCTCTAGTCACAGTATATATTCTTGTCTTTATGAGTTTCTCTGTGAACATTATTGTTAATATCCAATATCCCTATCTTCACACTTCTATGTTCATTGCTTTCAACACGGTCTTTTCCCATGTCTCCTACTCATCCGCCAAGATCCAGCTGAAACCCTACGCCCGCCTTGCAGTCCTCTCTTCTCGACCAAGCAAAGTCCTGCCTTTGCACTGGATGTGTTCTTTTCTCTGGTGTTTAAGCACTTTTTACTTTGCGATGCATCACCACTTCACAGCTCCAACTCTACATCAGCGCTCGACTCAGTTTAGTTATTTGCAAAGTGGGAACCATACTGTCCCCATGTAGAGTAGCTACAGGAATTAGGCGATAAATATAAATACACTAGAATGCAGTAGATACACAATAAGTATGAGGCTCCCTATTCCCCTTCCCTATGTTATCATTTGTGCATTTTGCTCATTTCTGCACCTGTCCTGCCACCATCATCCTCTAGAACAGCACTTGGCATTTGCTGGACATTAAATATGAGGTGAATATGTGGTAAGTTAAACATCTTATGAGAGAGTTGGAGAACATTTCGGTCTATTCTTTTCATCCAAATAATGCCAGAGTGAATCCTTCATGGACAAAAACGATAATCTAATTATTAGGTAAAGAAAAGCAATTGTAGCCTCTATTTACCATCTTCCCCTAATTGTTTTCAGTGATTGCACTTAGATACTCTTCTGCCTCTTGTCTGCTTGATGTAATAAGTCTCCCCTTCTCCCTAGATTTTACCTATTCTTTATATTCTCTCTTCTCTCCCCTAATGCATTAAAATGTACTTATTTCCTGTGTTAATTAACTACAGTTTGGATGATCAAAGAAAAAGTCTATTTGCTGTCCAAACAGTTTTGTGTTATGGTAGTCAACATCTTTACTTTCCATGCCCTTGTGTAGTTCCTTAACAAACTAAAGATGACATAGGTGACCAATAAAATACTGCGAAAGGGATGATGTGTTGGTCATGTACAAGGAAATGTCTTCCTTGGGCTCTAGCACTGCTCACCTGGGGGGAAGGCAGCCACCATGTTGTAAGGATGCACAAATAGCCCTGTGCATAGATTCACGTAGAGAAATACGGGGGCCTGTGACAATAGCCGGCATCAATTTCCAAGGCATAGAAGGTGGATCCCCCATAGCCAGCCCCATCCAGCTTCTCAGATGGCCACAGCCCAGGCAAACATTTGAGTTAATGTCATTGCAGACTTCAAGCTTGGACCACCAGCCAAGTTACTCCCAGATCCCTGACCCACAGAAATGGTGAGAAAAAATAAATATGAGTTTTTCTTTTAGGCTACTTTATTTGAAGTGAATTAAAAATATAGCAATAAATAACTGTTATATCTCTCTGCCCATGATCTACTGGTTCCAAAGAGTAGAAGTAAAACTCCTGGGTTCCAGGAAGCATAGGTCCATTAAAGGAGAGATTGGGAAAGGATGGAAACACGCAAGTCCTCTTGTGTTCTTACCAATTAAAATAAGGATATTTTGGCTACTTTGCAAAACTTTGCAAATCCTAAACTCAGAAATTCCACTCACAGGCACATGTCCAGTGCAAATGCATTCCTAAAGACACATGCAAGAATGTTGTTGGCAGAAACATTCTTGAGAATAGTCAAAACTCAGCAACAATAGATACTTACCAACAGCATAATGGATAAGTCATGGGATATTCACAGGAATACTGATGGTGCGGCAGTGAAATGAATGACCAAACTGCAAGTACAAACAACCTGTATCATAAATTTCTCAAACAGAGCCATACATAAGAACATCTGTATGTGATTCTACATGTTAAATAAACAAAAGCAGAATTAGTTTAAGTTATATAAGTTTTCCCACGGCAGGGATAATAAGGGACCTTCTATGCTGCTGCTAATGCTCTTGTTCTTGATCTAGATCCTCACAAAATGGACAGAGCATCATTTGGAAAAATCAGTAAACTATACAAACACTATTCATGTAGATGGTATGCTTGAAAATACCAAATATGGAAGACTCCTAATTTGCTATTACCTTGCTCTAGTTTTCAGTCTCCTAACAATAAGAAAATAATAATTAATATTTATTATGTACCAATTACACCTAAAGCATATTTCAAGCAAATAAAAATGACATTTTATTTAATTTCAAAACAATCTGTCAAACCAGGCAGTATTACACTTGTTTTACAAAAGTGGATGCAGAAGTCGGGAGAAATTGGATTACCTACCAGAGTTACAGTAGATTCCTGAATCTCTGGTACCAAATTTGGTAGAATATGTACCAAACCTGTGGATCCTAAGACTTTACTATGTTCAGCATCATGCTGAAAAGAGGGAGAATTTTGTCTTGACATTTCTTTGGTATACAAAAGCTAGGGTCTATGCATGTTAAATGTGTGTGTGTGTGTGTGTGTGTGTGTGTGTGTGCCTCTGTACACATATGCACAGCAACTGCCTACATGTGTGTGGGTGTGCATGAGTGTTCACATAGTAAGTCACATGGTCTAGGCTCTATCTATCCAGTGCCAAGATCTAACAGGAAACAAAACAACTTGGAGATTGGCTGGGATGGTTCCAAATATTTGCTTTTTGCATTATGCAATTTGAACATTTGAATAATACCTCTCTTTTCACCCAGATATTTACTCAGTAGGGAGCTAAGCTCAGACTTGGCAACCCAGTAGGAGAACTGATCAGTATTCATTTCCCAGATGCTTCCTTGCTTCTGCTATTCCTGCTGCAGAGCTTAGGATACATAATATTCTCCAATTGAAGCCGGACACCTGGTCCCCCAGCTAGAGACTACATACTTTACCCTCCTTGCAGTGGGGAAGGTGACTGGGGGTAAGCAATATGTGAAACCTCAACGTCACCTCTTTAAAACCAAAGTCCCTTATGCAGGACTTGCTTTTTGTTCTTTCCTACAGATTCAAACTCAGATTTACAGTATCCTAGCCTAAACCAGAGGTGAAGACAGCACTATAGGAAAAGCATAGAAACAACTTGGAAGACACTTAGTAGATGCCTTGTAGAGCAGAGGCACCCAATGAACCTGACTACTTTAATGAGTATTGAGTAAGAGACAAATAAACTTCTCTTTCCTATAAACCTATGTAATGCAGGGCTCTCCAGCCTACACCTTATCTAACATGCATTTGGCCTTACAGAAGGATAATTCATACCAACACATGGACAAACACCTTGGCAATGGCCAATAGCTCAGCCTTCATGGAGCACTTGGTCCCCAAGTGAGAGACCACTGTGCAGGAGGGGGCAGAGAGTCTGGTAATGTCTCCTGCATAGCTCACAACAGCTTCGAAACGCCTTCTTGTTCATTCCTTAACGCAAGTGAAGGGTTAGGAATTAAATTTATTCTCAATTTTCCAGAGCAACTGAGTCTCATACAAGTGTCTTGCCTGCATTCATAAGGCATGTGCGGCCAAAAGCTTGCATTGTCTCTGGCCTGCTTGGAAAGGAGATTTGAGTCAACCTGAGGTTCACAGTGCCTTTTTGCTGCTGATGCAGAGTATGAAACTCCAAGGTAAAACCTCGCCCTACCACCTTGTTCCTAATGGCACTTCACACAAACCAGAGAGGTAGTTTTGCTTCTTCCTATTGTTCACAAAAAGAAAAACTAAAGCTCATGGAGGTTCAACTACTTCTGCGCAGTACCCCGGCAAGTAGATGCCATCATCCAGGCCAAACATTTGCTCTCTTTCTGCAGTTTTGAGGTATCCGGTAAAATAATGTTAGTTATTACAGGGTGAGCATCCCTAATCTGAAAATCTGAAATCTGTTCAAAACCTGAGACAGTTCTGGTCTCAAGTATTTTAGATAAGAGTTATTCACCCTATATTTTGAATGACAGGTAAGCACCTAGATTGGAGTCTCCTGGCTCTAAGCCCTGTCGCTTTCCGTCTTCAACACTCCCCATTCCTGGGTCTGCCTGGGCAGCCCATCCTGTTGTAGTCTGGCATCCCTTGCGCGGTACTTTCTCCATGCCAAGGTCTGTTGCACACACTTTCCATTTCTTAACTTACATCTGTGCCCTCCAGCCAGAGTCCCAGAACACAACTGCAATTTAACTGCAGCTAAACTTAAACAAAGTTAAGTTTACTGAATCGTTGCAATGAGGAGAAACACAGATGATAGGAAATCGTGAGGTGTTTCAGTCAAGGGACTTGGAAGGATGGAGAATAGGATGTGAGCTTGAGCTCAGGAATTTTGGAGAGGGTCTGAGGAAGCAGAAATTTACCCAGTATCAGGTGCAGTCAGGAAACAGGGATAGTTCTGTGATGGGTATCTGAATGAGTTTTATCTAGAATGATGGAAGAAAGGAAGGAGGCCAAAGATGTAATAAGAAGTAGCCATTACTGCTATTAGCGAGGAGAGGGAGGTGTTTGGTGTTTTTGTGGTTTGCATGGGTACTCTGATTTGGTTCGTGCTTAGAAAACAAAAAGGCATGAAATAGTCTCCCATTTGCGAGATTATTTATGTTCGGTAGCAGAACACCACAACCCAGCTGTGAGTGCCAGACCCGCACCTCACAACTCTAGGTGCTTGGCCAAGTCCATACCAGTAAGAGGCTGCTTTGCTTTTTCTCATTGATTTAACCTGCACAACAAACATCTGCATTGGATTCTGAAAGTATCCCCGTTCCACAGAGGAGGAACAGGAAGCAGGGAGAGAGGATGAAAGTGACTCACCAGGATCACACTGCTAACAAATGGAAACTGTTGAGACCCAGGTCGCATGACCTCAGAAATCTTTCCTCTCACCCTCTGAGACCCTCGAGGTCTCCAGCGATTCTCTCAAAGCCACTGTGACACCTCAGTGCTGTACCCTGGTGGACACATGCTCCTCTCAGTCTTGCTTGTGTGCGCATGCACAGAGCTGGACTGTGCAGACCCACGGTGTGCCAGACCGCCCCTCTGGGAAGCAGCTGGAATTCCTAACACTGACAGCCTGCCTGGACCATGCTTTTGTGTCCAGCCCAAACTCTCGGGAAACCTGCTCTGCCTGCTGCCTTGGACAACTCTATGCCCCCACCCCCCACCACAGCCAATCCTCCCCAGTGACCTCCCCACCCTGCTAAGGGAGGCTGGACTCCAGCCTGCCCAAGCCCAAGTGCCTGTTGTGACATCCTGAAAGAATCTGACTGAGGCCCCCTGGGGTGTTCCTTACCCACTGCCTGCAAGCTGGGCGTGGTCTGGGGAAGGAGCTTGCTCAGTCTCTGCTCTCCTGACCCAGGGGCTCAGCAAATTCCTGGATCCTACTGAGGGTCACCACCTGCAAAATCAAGGCAAGTGATGCCATGTCACAGAGTGGCGAGGAAGGCTGGGTAAGGCCTTGTGTGCTACATGTAAGCCCCACACAGTGGTGGGCACACATGGGGGTCTCCTGTCTTTTACACATATGTGGGCCAGTTTGTATTTGGGGTTTGTTTTTTTCTTTTTGTTATGGTGGGAAGTGAGGAAGATTAAATTTCATATCTGCACTGATGTTGAGCAGCCAGTGAGAATGATCAAGGGACGGTAATGCAAGCAATGAACTGCCTGTGCAGGGGAAGCCCTGTGCTCCTGCTGTAGGGTAGATGTGGCTGTGTGCACACACACTAGAGTCAGACTTGGATGAGTCAAGTCCTTCCCTGCCCCGGGACTCGTTGTGTGACTTCAGGCTATCTGCATAATCTGAGCTTCCTCTCTTCACAGGTAGAGCAAGAGCTCAAGGAAGAAGGTGTCTCCCTGGCCACACGAAGTGGTGACCACTATAAGGAGAGCAGTGTGGGGCCAGGCCCCCCAGCACAAGGATGTCAGGGAGTTTCAGTCTCAGAAGGGCACAGGGATATAAGCTATTGAACGTAACAGAAGAAATACTACATTTAGCACCAGAATATCCGCATTCTTGATATGGTGCTGACATTGTGTGGCCTCGGACAAGTCACAACCTCTATGCTTTTCTTTCCCTCCTCAATAGGAGAAGACAAGGTTGGACAAGCCACAGGTTAAGTGTGTTCGTTTCGTTTTCTAATAACCCCTCTCCAGTGTGTAATGTCATTGTCTCCTTTCTGAAGATGGGGGAACATAGGCTAAGAGGGATTGAAGGGTTTGTACAAAGCTGCACATCTAATAAGTAGTCGAGTTTTGATTTCATGCAGTCTGACTCCAGAGCCTGTGCCCTTCCTTGTAAGCATAAACAGCATCTGAAGACGTCCCTGCCCTTACCTGAAACCCTGGTCTCTCGCAGTGCTGCTGTCAGACGGGCCTGTGGACTTGACTTAATCACATCACTCACCATGAGATGTGCTGCTCAGCTGTGATGCTATCTCATTCACTGTGACTGTGGAGGGTGACAGCTGCACTGAAATCCTGAGCGAAGATGTTTCCAAACTGCTGTGTGGTGTTCAGCCCTAGAAGGGCAGTCTTGGGCCGGGGATTTAGCACCATGGTGCTGCCGCCTGCCTTGGGCTGTCGCTAGCAGGGAGATTCAGGCGTCATGTAAATGGTTGCTCTTATCACCTGAAGCTCCTGGAACAGAGCTCCAGCCAGGGGCCCAGTTCAGTGAGATCTCTTCTTCCTCTTCCTCCTCCTCCTCTTCTTCCTCTTCCTCTTCCTTATTCATCTTCTTCCTCTTCCCCTTCCTTATTTTCCTCCTCCTCCACGTCCTCCTCCCTTCTTCTTCTCATGTTTGATGTTCTCTAGCTGCCATTCCCACTTCAGATCCAGCATATCC